ATAATAATAATAATAATATTATCAAATGTGAAGTAAAAATAAAAAAAGTTTATTAAATAATATAATATATGAAATAATAATATAATTAAATAATATATCATTAACCATATATTATGTAAGAATAGTTTTACAGCTACTATATATACACTGTATTTTTTGTAAATGCAGAGGAATAAAATGAAGTGAAGGTACATTAATCCAACTTATTACCTGGTATTCTGAGGGATGGAACAGCACCAAATTTAAGTCCTCTTTTGGTTCCTGGCACCATACACTCCGGGGGAAAATGTTCATGACAAACATGATAGGAGTTGTAGATTTTGTATAGAGAAAGATTTTCGTAATTATAAGGTTTAATTCGCTCGATCCAAGTATTGAAAACATCCGGTTGATTTTTGGGAAAACGACGTCTTTTACTATCCCTATTAGGACGCAACACCTTCTACGCTTTGTTGGGGGAACATAGTTCTCATCCATTTTTTAAATACAACTTGCACAAAACAATCGGTATTAAATAAGTTTATAACTTGTGATTAACATGTACTGAAAATAAAATGAGTAATGACAGAAATATATTTACCCAGATAATTAGTCTTTCAGTGCTACCATCTTTAGGTACCTGAGAATATAATTACACTCATCAGCACCCCATGTCGGATGTTTCCCTAATATTTACATTTTGGCGGGAAAGCGTGTGTTACTTTTCTATTGTTTACAATCAGTATTCTGTGGTGTATTGTTTCTTTGAACACGCCAAGGTGATGGTGATTACAGGCTTATGCCCCAGAAGTATACTTTTGGGTTCACAGATATAGATGTAAGCAACTTATGATTAAACTTAAGGGGTGGTTAATGCGCAATTTGTTCCACAATATTGATTCGAGGTCGTGCGGGAGGGTGTAATACATAACAGGAAATACCTTACATGCGTGGGATATGAGAAAGTAGTCTCCAGCAGCACGATCCAACCCCTGTACGCAGGTCACTCAGACAGTGATCTTTCCCATGGAGATAACTTGCTCCTCGGAAGACCGTAATCAGAGATATAAGGGGTGTAGTGGTCTAGCCTTGCAAGAGATACACAAGGATATAGTTCACAATATCGACTTGAGGTGGTAATAA